GCCAAAAAGTGATCTACAGTTATCCACGCTTAGAATAACAAAATGGTCGTCCGACACTACCTCGGGCGGGTCGGATAGATTTGACTGGACGCGGCGACCCAACGGGAGTGTGGTACTGGGACTCGAATCCCTCTGCATCCTGGTAAGGACTGGGACTTCTGCAGGTGTGTTGCAGATTGGCGCATGTCGAGGACCTTCGGGGACTGGAGACGGCACTGCAGTTGCACGATTCTGGCGGCGAGGGTGTGTGGCATATGTGGCCACAGTTCGAGTTGCATGACTCGCTGTGTGGTATGGCACTGATGCACTGACTGTCACAGGTATTGTATGGTATTGTGTGGCAGTTTCGTTCGCAGGTTCCGTGGTTATCACATGTGTCTGCACAGTTATGATGTCCACAGGAATTATAAGGCCTGTGACCACTGTACAGATTTGAATTTCGATGATTAGGTGAATGTGAACATGAATGATTATTATACGAACCACACGTGTGGTGACAACAAAGATTAGTTGATTTTATATTACTAACTGCATCATTGCACCGATTGTTACGGCACGGGCTACGGCAAGTATGGTCATTGTACTGGTTTGAATGTCTATAATCGCAACTAAAGGGTTCGCAATGTATACTTTTACACCTATGATTGTAACAAGCGCACTTGCACCTGTGACCGGGTGGTGAATAATGTGGATCACCTAAGAGATATCTCAATTTCTTAGGGTCAATGGCATGCGTTGGGGGTATCTTGTCCCTGTATTGTTGTCGGTGAATTGGCGTCGAACAATAACTCGGGTAGTTACTACTGTTGCAGCTCGAGTGAGATGAGAAGGCTGCCTCGTTCCCGCTGTCCCTGTACAGGTTTCCAAAGGCGCTCAGTGGTCGCCTCAGAGTCCGGGGGTCCACGCGGTCGCTGTTCAGGAGGCCAGCGTCCTCGTCGTCGCTCAGGCAGTAGTTTTGGAGACTCTTCCTCTTCATCTTGGCCTCCAGTTTGCGTCTCAGCTGGACGATCTCGGCGCTCCTCCGCTTCAGCAAGTCAGAGGGCGTTGCTGTGAAGGAGTCGATGCTGTTTCCTGCTGCTCTTCTCTTGTTCCTCAGCGTGACAGGGCTGTTTGTCTCTGAGCCTTCGGTACCTTGGCCAGTACCTAGGTCACAGACTGGGCGTGATTCCGTGGTGAGGACATGTCGGGAATTCGTGTCTCCTTTTGCTTGATTCCGGTCTTCTGCTGGATACCCGTTTTCTTCTGTTTGATTCCCGTTTTCTTCCATTTGATTACCGTTTTCTGTTTCATTCATGTGTTCTTCCGTTCGATTCCTGTTTTCCGTCATTCCACACAGATTTTCCGTAAAGTTTCTGTCCGTATCTAAATTATCACACTGATTATCATAATTATCTTTGTTACCACAGTTTTCCACATTTCTATCTAACTCTTCCGGCGTTGCTATTCGAAACTTAGCGGTAATCTTTTCCTTTAATTCTAATTTTACATCACCATTTATGTTTGTCACGTCCCCCGTTTCTTTATCCATTTTCAGATAAGTTTTTGATATGACTGCACTCCCATCTTGATCAAAATCGTCAACATGGCTTAGTTGTTTTCGATGCACAATCTGAGCTTCCAAAACTCTGTCCAAAAACTCATCCTCGGAAACACAGTTCACGTTTTCGTCTCTCACTTGCCTAGACTCGCGAAGCAGATCCCGGATGAAGAACGTGTCTTCTGCAGGTCCACATCCTGAGTCCAAACTTGTGTTCCTGTCTCCGCTGGCTGTCTGGAGATGCCCCTGGGTCGTCATGGCGTTCGCACGAGCATGGCGGGCGCTGATCCTATAAGGAGAGGAGCTCCGAGTCTCAGCGGCGCCTTCAGAGGACATCCTTCGACCCGAGGAATGGCAGGAGGTCGTAGAAACAGCTGATTTCAGACGCCCCTTCCCAGTGCGCTGCTGACCTCCTCGCTTGGCACATCTGCAGGGTTTTGTAGGTACTGGAACTGCCACTTCCGGGTGAGCGAGGCACTTTCCGCAAAACTGCAAGGAAAGGGCAATGATAATACGTGTAAAAGCTAATTACTATTTACGAGTTATATTAAAAGTACTCCTGCTAGACTCTGTGTGTGTGTGTGTGTGTGTGTGTGTGTGTGTGTGTGTGTGTGTGTGTGTAGGATATTCTCCTTAACACAGAGCACTAAAACAGTCAAATCACATCAGCAATCCAGTAGCTTTGGTGATTATACAAGTATCCCCTCCAGCGTATGTTAATTCGTATCCAAATGGCATTAGCATGTTAATCACTATGCTTGTGTTTGAACCTCGTACGTATAAACTGAAATAACGAGAATAAGAAGCTAATAAATGAAAAGAAAAAATGCGGTATTAATACACAAACACGCAATGAGAGTTTATTAAAAATTATTTAAAAAAAAACGAACAAGCCAAAAGACAATAAATAAACAAACGTAAAAAAATGCAGAAACACTGTACATGACCGCGGATGCAATCTTCAATGCAAAAAAAATATAAAGTTGCACAGACAAAAAATCAAAGATAATAGACTCATATCCAGGTTGCTACATCCGGGTTCCTCCTCATCGTCTGCAATTAGCGTGGATAATCTCACGAAAAAAAAAAAAAAAAAAAAAAAAAAAACATTCTTCGTGATCGGAAATAGTCTTTTAATCTTTTCAAGAAAATAAAAGTTTTGAAAACAAATAGGTGTTTATCTAGCGCAGGACTTTATCGTTTATGAAAAAAATAAATCTTAAAATAGGTTAGGGAGAATTTCTAAAAATATTTTTCTTTTCTTCGGAACGAATTTGAATCCTTTTGAAGTTCATTATGCTGTTCTCAGGTAAATGATGTTTTGTAGTTTACCTGTGGGTATAAATACATATATATATATATATATATATATATATATATATATATATATATATATATATATATATATATATATATATATATATATATATATATATATATATATATATATATATATATATATGATATATGTATATATATATATATATATATATATATATATATATATATATATATATATATATATATATATATATATATATATATATATATATATATATATTATACACACATGTATGTGTGTATATATATATATATATATATATATATATATATACATATATACATATATACATATATACATATATACATATATACATATGCATACACACACACATATATATATATGTATATATATATATATATATATATTATATATATATATATATATGTATATATATAATATACATATATATATGTATATATATATATATATATGTGTGTGTGTGTGTGTGTGTGTGTGTGTGTGTGTGTGTGTGTGTATATATATATATATCATATATATATATATATATATATATATACACGCACACATTATACATGCAAAATCTGAGACATGCGGTGACGCACACAAAACAAGAAATTATGACAAAGATAGTTGCTACATATTTTAAAACCTGCATTATCGTGCAACGTGCTATATTGAAGCTACAGAGTTTCCATTATGTTTACTCCTTTTTTATATATAAAAAATGTGATAATTAAGCAAGAAATCAAAGACGCCTAGGTAACAAATTAGACTATTTTGCTTTAGCTGTGTTTTCTATACATTTTCTTATTATTATTATTATTATTATCAGAAAATACCGAGGTAAAAAAATCAGACAATTTTAGTTTCGCATCTTCAGGAAGGAAGAAAAATTGACCAGACCGAAATTGTGGGATTTGGGAAATGTTATTATATAAAAAAGGTCGATAAAGATCAGGGAAAATAGAGAACAGGCATGGGATGAAGAGGCAGAATAGATAAAATAACAAGATAAACAGAAGAGAGACATAGAAAGGATAAATAGGAGAGAAGCATGGAACGGATAAACAGGAGATAAACAGAATAATACAACAGGATAGAATAAATTGGTTCAGTCGGGATTATTGGACAAATGAAAGGATAAGGGGAAGGAAAACAGAATATGAACCTTTCCTAAATTATTAATTCTTTTCTGCCTCCTGATTACGTAGAAAGGTTCCCACCTAAGGTTCAGGCTCAGATATTAGAGAATTATTTCGATTTGATATCATTACGATAACTCTTTTACAACTGGTAACATTGAGAAATTGAACCAATTGCATCTGCGAAATACCTTTATATGTCACATGTGTTAACTAATAGTAAATGGATCTTGGTAAAAATATGTACTAACAACTGAATACCTATTTTGGGGCCTCAAGTTCACCAAAAAAAAAAGAATTAAAATTTAGCAACTACACAGTGAAGAGCATCCTCAAGTGTTTTGATAATCGAATTAATTTTGATTTGATCCCTAATAGCAACTATAAAATGTTGACTCACAAAGCCATGTTGACGAAATTAACAGCGACTTTCGAAGGTTCAGCAGCATATGTTGTATGTACTACTTGGCAAACGTATCCCTGGAGGTATGTACATGTACTCCAGGAAGGGAACTTTTGTAGTATATGAAAAAAGAATCCGTAACCCGGAACTGGAATAATATCAATAAAGACAATTATCCGAAACTGATTGATTGGAAGAGTGCGCGCGTAAACCTGAATCAATTTGTCCATAATGTTTTCTTGGGAATTTTCAGTATAGAATGTTCAGTGATATTGTCATTATCTGTTAAGAAAGTTACTGAAGTTTAACAAGTCAGTATATTGTCATTATCTGTTAAGAAGTAGAGTTACTGAAGTCCTTAACAAGTCAGTCAGTCTCTTAATCATCATTATGTTAAGAAGTAGAGTTACTGAAGTACTTAACAAGTCAGTCACTGAAGTACTTAACAAGTCCGTCATGCCATTTCATTTCCGCACTTTTCACTTCACGACTTTTATCTATGCAGACATGGTCAATCACATAAAATGTCACACCGTTTTTTTCCAAATCAGATTCGTTTCACTATGAATGTTCAGTGATCTAGAAATGTTTCACTTCATTTCGTTCTGATCC